CTGAGACACCCCAGCTGCAAAACATGATTGTTTCCGTCTGTATAACTGAGAAATGCGTTCGACACGATGGCCCAGTAAGCCTATCTTAGTAAGCCCAGGCATCTGCTGACTCGTGTGCGGCGTCTAGAATGTGCCGTCTCCTTCAGGTTTTCGTTATCTAGCACACGTTCGGCATTTCCTCATTCAAAAAGCTTGAAGATGACCCAACTTCCCGGGACTTTCAAATTAAGTTTATCCAATTTACTCGCAAGCACCCTTTTGCCTCTGCAGATTATCATGCAACAACTGGAAAACATTTCCGAGCTGTATCTGCCGCGAAGCAGCCTGTGCCGCGCCTCTCCCGGGGCGGACAAACGTGCGCGTCTGACATCCTTGTAACAAGCAGCGAGGTCTCCGACATTGTGTCTGCCGCAGATGCCACCGCAATCTCAGACCTCTTCAACTCAGCCTTCAGGCTTCTTGTGGATTGTCAATTTTTTTTAATGGCTTGAAATTGCTGTCACAGACAAAGGGAAGCAAGGTGCCACATCTGCCGCCACTAAAGGCGCTTTGAGGTCTTTGTCTACCCTTTGTTTTTGTGTTTTAATTTTTTTGTTGGTCTCGACAGATGAGATATCCATCTTTCCAGTCTTCCTTTTGGGGTTGAGTCCCAAGACTGCGCGACTTTAATAATTGCTTCCTTAATTACCTTTCATGGAAGCAAACAAGCTAGTTTTCCGCATCTAGTCGGCAAGTTTCTGGGGAATGACTATCAGCCCGGGTGCACGCTTCACAGCTCTAATCAGATTCCCACAATCCTCTTTAAAGCGCCGCTGTTGTTTTTGTTCTGATTTCCCTGAAAGGGGCCTTTATCTGTCCCCGTACTGGATATTCTATGGGATTGTGATGCTTGTTTAGCACTTTGTTAGACTGCCAAGCAAACGCAGTCACCATTGACAGAGATTTTAGAGGCCAACCTGAGAAACCGCTGACAAATAATTCTATTTTTATCAAGCTATTTGCCTCTTGCCGTGTTCTCTATGAATATGTCAGCTGAAACTTCTGTTCTTGGAGTGACTCTATTAAAAAGGAAATCTGCAGAAGATAATGGGCAGGCCTTTAAAAGTCTGCAGCAGCTTTCTTTGCTCCCATCTCCGTTCTGAATGGGCCATGTTCCCATGGGTGGGCCATGGGTAGTGTCAAAGCTTGCCCATTGCCTCCTGCCAAATATTCCTTTTGGCCCATCACTTTGATGGGATGCATCAAAGTGATGCATCATTTTGACAGCTCTGTATTGCCACTAGTTAATGCTATCTTCTAGTAGCGTTGCCAGCCCTCTGCACAGCCTTTACCATGAAGGTGACACATACATGAATGCTACATCCTGGAAGCATTGTTGGCCCTGGATTTACTCTCTCTGTTGCCCCAAGGCCAGGTTTCCCTCAATGTGCCCTCCTACTTGCCAAGCACCCCCCCCCCCCCAGGGAAAATTGCGGCCTGCTTGCCCCCCCCCCCCCCCATGGAGAATTGCAGGCTGCATACAAGTGATCTCGGTGGCACCGCCAAGATCACTTGTACAAAACAAGAGGCAGCTTCACCACTGTACATTTAGTCTTCTTGCCCAAAGCCGGGCTAAATGTAGAAAACTACCCGCCCGGAGCCAGAACTGCATGTCCCGGGCATCGGGAGATCAGAATTCCACACCCCTACTGGCCCTCTACTCCCTGCTGCCCCAAGGCCAGGCCTTGTGGGAAATCCTGTCCTGCAATCCGCAGCTCCTTTACTATGAAGGTGACACATACATGAATGCTACCTCCTGGAAGCAACACTCCCACACGTGTAGTACTGCGTACACAGGACCTTATGGCTTCAACCATCTCTGCGGTCTTCGGCGCTTCCTTCCCCTTAGGGAGAAAGGCCACCATGAACGGCACCCTGTGTCAGGCATAGCCCCATTGCGCACCTACCCTCCTCAGATGGTTACAGCCACGATACAGTCCAACATCACACTCCTGTAGAACCCCACCTTCTCAGAGGTTGGAGGGAGAACAACCAGTCCACACAGATAGTCTTTTTGTTGGTTTTACTTGAAGGTATAAACAGAACAAAGTATACGTTTCAGCCACCCCCGGGTGGGATGACGGCACAATTCTTGATGGTTGCATATGGTTACCATTTAGAGAGGGAGAGGTACATCAGCCCAGGTGCAGCCCAGAGTCCATGACTTACTTCAGCCAGAGGCCCACTGGCAAATATCATCAGTCTTCTAGCACTTCACTATTCTCCGGAATCCCATCTTTGTCAGTCCTAGCTCGGTGGGTTTCCCCCCGGGGGTGAAACTAGGGAATCTTTGTAGCTGTACATAGTCCTAGGCCTGGTCCTGTCCTTCCCATGGACCAGCCTATGTTCAAGAATCAGTCTCCCTCCGGAGACTCTGCAAACAGTCCTAGACTTCTGCTCTCCCGTAATCTCTGCCTCTTTCCCTCTCGAGCGCCCCCTATAAATCAACTCTCCTGGGACACAGAGTCTCCCCAGGCCAGAGCTGCATCTATCTCCAGGTCCCCATGGGGGCATCTAGTGGCCGTTGGCCATACTGCACCTACCTACACGCACCTCCTTTACTATGAAGGTGACGCATACATGAATGCTGCCTCCTGGAAGCATTGTCGGCTAGAGCTGCAGCTAACGATTATTTTCAAAATCGATTAGTTAGCCGATTATTATGTGGGCGGGCGTTGAGTGTGAGGCGGGGAGGAGGTGCGGCGTGAAGAGCGTGGATGCTGGCGGGCGGGTCTTGCAGCGGCGAGCGTGAGGTGGGGAGGAGGTGCGGCGCGCAGCGTGTGTGGAGCCATGAACAGGGCCAACTGATCAGAAGCCGATTAATCGATTATTGAAAAAGTTGACAACTTTTTCAATAATCGATTATGTCGATTAGTTGTTGCAGCCCTATTGTCGGCCCTCCGCACCTCCTTTATTATGAAGGTGACACATACATGAATGCTGCCTCCTGGAAGCATTGTTGGCCCTCCGCACCTCCTTTACTATGAAGGTGACCACATACATGAATGCTACCTCCTGGAAGCAATGCCGGCCCTGCACCTCCTTTACTATGAAGGTGACACATACATGATTGCTACCTCCTGGAAGCAATGCCGGCCCTCCGCAGCTCCTTTACTATGAAGGTGACACATACATGAATGCTACCTCCTGGAAGCATTGTTGGCCCTCCACAGCTCCTTTACTATGAAGGTGACACATACATGAATGCTACCTCCTGGAAGCATTGTTGGCCCTCCGCAGCTCCTTTACTATGAAGGTGACACATACATGAATGCTACCTCCTGGAAGCATTGTTGGCCCTCCACAGCTCCTTTACTATGAAGGTGACACATACATGAATGCTGCCTCCTGGTAGCATTGATGGCCCTCCACAGCTCCTTTACTATGAAGGTGACACATACATGAATGCTGCCTCCTGGTAGCATTGATGGCCCTCCACAGCTCCTTTACTATGAAGGTGACACATACATGAATGCTGCCTCCTGGAAGCATTGATGGCCCTCTGCACCTCCTTGACATCAGATGCTTTTTCATGAATGAAGACACATAAGTGATTGGTTGCTTTGGAAACACAAGTCCCTTCTGCATACACCACTTCCAGATGAGACGCAAGAGCAGCTAAGTTACAGGTCAACCAACCAAACATTATTGCAATCTGTAATCTTCAATCATTGCAAACTGCATGGGAAAACCATTACCCGCCAGTGGATTGTTTGCTACTTTAAGAAATTACAACAACTTTAAATATTCAGATAATGATTATCAAATATTTGCCCGAGCTGACACATAGCAAGAAGCGGTCAGCAGATTCCCTTAAATGAAAGCCGGTTTTGCGCGGAGATAAATGGTCTATTAACTGCGAAGAACATAACGGAGCAGGGAATAAAACCAGATGGAAATGTAAGATTATAACTCTTAATTGTTTTTCATATGCAGAGCGGTAATGGAGCTAACATCGATTGTGGTACAATATATATTTTACATCTGGTTAAGTCCTGTGAGATATTATTGCCGCTGTCGCTAGTTAAAACATAATTAATTGCACAAATATGATATTAAAGGGAATGTAAAGTGTTTTTTTATGTATTTTCTTTTTTATTCTAGATAAACATTTAAAGGGGAACTATGAAATACACTCATTACAATAGTTAGAGTCGCTGTGCAACACTGCAGCTGTCACACGTTAGCTCTATTGATCGTGAACGGAGCAATCACAAACCAATGATTGGTCAGTTCACGACCTTCTCCCTGCAGAATGGAGGAGAGAGACACCGGCCAATGCTGGGGAGGAGAGAGGGGAGAGACACCGGCCAACGCTGGGGAGGAGAGAGGGGAGAGACACCGGCCAACGCTGGGGAGGAGAGAGGGGAGAGACACCGGCCAACGCTGGGGAGGAGAGAGGGGAGAGACATCGGCCAACGCTGAGGTCATGTGAAAATGTATTCGCCCAACAAGGCGTCATGAGTAGAAAAAGTTTAAGAAGGCCTGCACTATAAGATAGCAACATTTTTTTTAAAATCAGGTCCACCTTACAGATTCACTGATCTGTAGTCATCTGCATTCTGAGATTTCTGACAATCCCAATTAACATTTGATAGGCTGTGTCTTCACGTGCACCATTACTAGCCAAAATTGGCATTCCAGAATGATGCGTTTATGTGCAGAGCTTAGAGGAAAAACAACTTTCATTTACAGCGGAGAAAATCAGAAACAGAAAAAAAAAAATTGGAGGCAAGTCACTTAAAATATACTGTAAACATCATACAAATTGGGTTCCTTTTCATTCTGTAAATCTTTCAAGGCCGAGAACGCCTTCAGGCAAACTGACGTGTTAAGTGAACTGGAATTCAACTTCTTACTTTCTGAAATCTGGTGCGGTGTGTTATCTCAAATTTGTTTCTTTTTTCTTTTTTTTTTTCTATTTCCAACATCTCATATTTTCTTTTTTTCCTCTCTTACAGAGCCCGGCTTTTTCCCCAACCACGGCGTGACGTATTCCGTATCTCCTCTTCTTCTCGGCGTCCTGTCTTTCACATTAGCCTGCCTCTTACGTACAATCTAATGTAAGACGGAATATCCAGAATGAATCCTCAAGACGGGCAGTGGAAGAAATAAAAAATACAAATTACACAAGAACATCGTCAAAAAAAAAAAAATCAACAAAAAACACAAAAATAATTTTTTTAGAAGGAATCCGACACTGTGAGGGAACAAATTATGCATTTTTGAAAACCGTGTCATTGACTTTCTGCGCCTTCTAATGAACGAAAGGACACTTTTGGGTGGATTTAACCAGTGACGTTCAATGACTCCAGAACTTTTTGGGTGGGCTCACCTTATGAGACGTCTAGAACCCAGGTGCTCTTACAAAAAAACCACAGAAGTATTTTAGAGGGCGGAGAGGGAAGAGAGTGACTGCAAATCAAAATGAACCTTTTTTGCCACTTCAGCTCTGGAAGGGGCAGAAGTTTCGATGTAGGTGCCCTACGTACCTCATTACCATTCTTGAAGGGATTTTACTCCAAAAGAAACCTGAACGTCTAAAGTCATCTCCCTTGCCTGACCTTGTGTCTTTTTCGCCGTTACTGTGTACATTACCTCCAGTCCCTTACCCTCTCACCAAACGACGGCAACACCAATAAATAGGTATGAGTGGATTTTATACCATATTCCTGCAAAAGTGATAGACATCAAATACTGCTAACTCTACAACAGAGCAAAATATGGAATGAATGTGGGGAAAAAAAAAAAAAGTACGGTAGATGTCTATCTTGATAAGGTCTTCTTCATGAATCAGTGTGAGATCTGAGACTTCCGTCTACAACAAATCGGATGCCCATTTGTATCTCCATCTCCTGGCCTTCAGAATAGTTTTTTTTTTGGACATCTCAAGAGCGTGATGGGAGAAAGCTTACAACTTTGGCATATAGTTATGGATTTGGAGAACCGCAGCTATGGACTGGAATGATGGGTGTTGATGGGTTGTTTAAATAGATGTTATACCACCATTTCAGGGACAGCAGGGCAAGTATGCAAGTAGAAAATAAAAATTATAAAACATTGGGATAACTAAGGGACAGTGCACAGTCCCTTCTAGTTTCATATGCCTGTCATTCATCAAATGTGTCTGTGACATTCTTGTGGGTATTCTACAGACCCTAGTCCCCTTTCACAGACAAAAAAAAGAAGGGGGAGCCAAGGGCCTTGAGTATTGTCTGAATGTTAGCTGTCTGTCTGCATGGTCCTATCACTGATTGCAAGCCCCCCCCAGGCCCGCACTTACTACTCATTGCATTATGCTGATACGAGAATGGACTCAATCCTCGCGGGCTGTTGATGTTTTGTGATTTGCACTGGTGCCGAGTTTGAAAGGGGCTTAGGTTAGTTTAACAAGCTTCTGTTGCCCAATTTTTTTTTATTTGGGTGTATAATTCCCAGGATGCCTCCATAACTGTCTTCTAAGCCTCTCCAAAAAAAAATAACCAACACCTGGGGAGATTCTACTGGTATTATCCTAAAAACAAAAAAAAACAGGCCTGCCCCTTTGTCTTGGCGTCTCTTTGTCCATCCATTTATCCATAACTGATACATGTGCGGCTGAAAAATAAAATGAAACGGTCCCAACAAGAGCTTCCAAGCTGTGCATCAAAGCAGTGCATTCTGGGATTTCACATTCTCCGTACCTACATGCTGGGGAGAAGGGAGGGGGCGGGAGTTGCCTTTATGTTGGGGTACTTTTTTTTGCTCATCACTGGAAATCCAAGGCATTTTTTTTTCTTGATTTGTTGGGGGTATTTTTGTTTTCTTTTTGCAAAAAGATTAAAAAAAAAATACTTGTGAATATTGGCAACAAATGTATAAAGTGTTATAATATAACAGAGACAAACTCTACTTTGGTATGTTGGTGATATTTTGTCTTGCAGATTGTTTTTGCCTTACTTTTGCCAAGACGTTGAACAGCTGAAATTTCTTTGGATTTTAAGCCCATAAGGACTAAGTGGCGGTTGAGAGACCACGTGACACTTGGCAGGTGATGGGGGATCTGGCAATTGAGAGACCAGATGACACTTGGCAGGTGATGGGTGATCTGGCAATTGAGAGACCACATGACACTTGGCAGGTGATGGGGGATCTGGCAATTGAGAGACCACATGACACGTGGCGATTTTTGATGGAATTAGAAGATTTTGTCAAAATGAATTAGAGACAATTGGCTAAATTGACAAGCTAAATTAAATTACATCTAAAGGCTGTTGTGTGACTGTCTAAATAGGTCCAAAATCCAGTTGCTATGTGATGCACAAGCCATGTATAGTTAAAATAACTTACTTTGCCACCCCTGAGTGAGCCAAATACTAATTCATTCATGTCTCACATGCTTCCCCTCCCAGACACTGCAGTTCCAAGTGGAATGGTTTCAGCAGCAGAAGCAGTGCTGTCAATCTATACAGCAGTGGGCAGGGTTAGGTATGACCAGCTACTGATTGACAAGCTATAGGCTTAAAAATCATCAGCGGAAGTGTTTATAGTCACACCCCCTGCAGCATATTTTCATCTCACTGTATTGCTAACAGGCACCAGAGGTGTATCTACAAAAGGTTGTGCCCCTGACGTCCTGCCTAGCTCTTGGCAACCAGTGACGTCACTGGGTGGGATGCCGGCCAGAGCATCCCAGGTTGCTAAGAGCTGGGCCATAAACATCTCCCAACCTGGCTCTTAGCAACCTGGGATGCTCTTGCCTGCACCCCACCCAGCTGGGCGGGTTAGCCGGCAAGAACGTTCCCACCCGCATACACATCTTAGTCACACCCCCTGCAACATATTTTCATCTCACTGTATTGTTAACAGGCACCAGAGGTGTATCTACAAAAGGTTGTGCCCCTCACGTCCTGCCTAGCTCCTGGCAACCAGTGACATCACTGGGCAGGATGCCAGCCAAAGCATCCCTGCCTGCTGAGAGCTGGGCGGGGAGATGTGTAAGGGCCATACACATCTCTCAATCTGGCTCTTAGCAACCTGGGATGCTCTGGCCTGCATCCCACCCAGCTGGGTGGGTCACCGGAAAAAAACGTTCCCACCCGCATACACATCTTAGCAACCAGAGCGGGCGGGGAGATGTGTATGGCTGTTGCACTGCTCCCCAACCAGCTCCTGTCAACCTGGCATGCTCTGGCCGGCGTCCTGCCCAGCTCCGGGCAACCTGTGATGCCACCTGAGCAGCTCAGCTCAGAAATTTCTATTTTCTATAATGTACAAAGATTGAAAATAACTTTCGAAATTACAATAACATGTTAAAGCTTAGATTAAATCTTAGTGGTTGGGTTTACAGCTTCCCTAATCAGCATGTGGCAATTGGTCTTGGTCAGCTTGTAAAATGCTGGAGTACAAATTGGCAGGTCTGGATTGGTGAGATCCTATTGTGGAGATGACAGGCTACTAACAGTTTTCTTCCTATGATATTCTTTTATAGGTCATATGGAAAACATATAAGAAAATCAATAGCCTGCCTCATGTAAAGAACACATCATCTGAGGTGCATGGAAACGTATGGGGAAAAGAAATTGTAGTCACAATGAGTGGTGAAGCAAAACCTAGAGGGCATGTAATGAAATCCACCCATGGAATAACGAGTAACTAAGCAAAACAAACTTACAAATAGGAGGAAGGACTTTGGGGTAATTCCATGTATTTAGGTATATGCCGATATGGTATTTGCTGGATCAGGTACTGGACAGTACTGTTTCACTTACGATATATTGCCAGAGTTTTGTGGACACCTGACCTACTATCAGGGTTATTCACAGAAGGGTGAAGAGTTTGGAGAACGCCGGAGAAGTGAACAATCTAGGCCAAAATAGCTGAACTGGAAAAATTCTCCAATTCAGCTCACTTTACAGATCAGCTATGTTGTCCTAGATTGTTCACTTCTCCTGCCTTCTCCAAACTCTTCATTCTTTTGTGAATAACCCTGTATATTCCCCAAAAAGTATGTGAACACCTCTCCAAATGATTGAGTTCAGGTGTTCCCAGTGAAGGGTACTGTTAAGACTACAGTATACAAAGACATTTTGTGCTTCCAACCTCGTAGAAGGCCCTTCTCTGTCCCAACATGAGTGTCCCCCTATGCGGAAACCCAGACATGGTTTAATTAGCTAATGGGTGTAGAGGAACTCTAGTGTCCCACACAAAGCCCTCAACCCAACCCTACTGAACACCTTTGGCATGCATTTAATGTCAGTTGCCAGCTGAGTGTTCTCCAACATCAGTACCTGACCTCACAAATGCTGTTTTGACTGAATGGGCACAAATATTCACATGCACACCAAAATCTTAAGGAAAGCCTTCCCAGAAGAATGAAAGCTGCCGTAGCCACAAAGGGGAGCCACCTTCCTAACAATGCCTGTGGTTTTGGAATGGGATGCCCAACAAACGCTTAAAGTTGTCATCAGGGCCGGATTTACTCTCCCTGCCTCCCCAAGGCCAGGTTC